CTAGTTGTTCGATACATAGCACTGCGTCTATTTCCCGACCCGTTCTATGGATTGTGACACGTTGTTTTCCGTTAGGCGATTTTAACGCTTCAAGTTGTTTGCTCTTTAAGAAATTGGTTTTTCGGTGTGTCTTCGGACGAAAGTCGAAAAAAACTTATTTTGGTGGTCTGGATCTAATTCGCTCTTCAAAATAATTGTTCTTGGATTGAAGAGGAGTCCAGAATGTGCGTGAATCTTTCAAGTCAGCTATCTGCGAGGCGGAAGTCTCTCGAACCCAACTGGAACTCAACTCGAACTTAACTGCAACTCTTCTTGAACTCAACTGACTTCTGCTCGCTGCGACTTCGCTTATATGGACGCCGACCAAAACCGGGGTAGGTTTGTCGGCGTCGGGGGTTCCTCGATAATTCTAAATACATATCCACCTCTTTTATTTCTGGTTAGGAATTTTCCACTCTTTTCCATTTTGGGAGCCTTTTTCTCCCCACCTTCTCACCATACTTCAGAGGGGCGTGAGCTGCCCTCCCCACTTCTTCGTAGCAGCTTCTCATACCTATCCTCTGGATGGGCGGCGACAGCCTCCTTCATGCGTCACGTGATCACCACTCGACAAATGGTGTCTTAGTCGGGCGTGGACGAATCCGCGACCTTGTTTCAGGAAAAAAAAAATATCTTGCTTAACTAAAAAAAAAAATTATCTTTTCTTTTCCTTTTCTTCCTCTTAATCGCAGTTATCATTTTCTCTAGCCGCAAACATGATAATATGAACGACGGCGGTCATAACTCTTGTTCTACACCTGGGCTTCGTCAGTACTTATCGCTAATTATCAGAATGGGTTGTCTTTTTACACGACCAAAAGGTCGCCCCGAAAAGAACATTTCTAAGTTCCCATTCATTTCCTTTCGGTACACATTTCTGATAACATAATTTTATTATCGCAGGCTAAAGATGTTCCGTCGAAAGAAATCGGTCAGTGGACACATCGTGTGCGGCTTTTTAATTTTCATATCTATCCAAAGCCCTTTGGTCCACCTGTTTTCCGTCACTTATCGAAATAACATTTTCATTTGGATTTTCTTTGGCCAGTCGGCCAGCAGTTTGTTTACGTATCCCAGATAACACAGCCGTCGCCAAAACATACCCGATTCCTTTATCCACTCAGAATTTCCCTGTCATTGTAATGACACTCTTTCGCCATTTGTTAATTATCAAAATATCTTTTACCCATTGTCTCTTAGCCGTGGTGTTCTGCTTATCATCCACGTTTTGGGTCTCGCCTTTTTTTTTTCCTTCTTTTCTTTCTTTTCTTTTTCTGCCTCGGTAAATGGTGCCACACACACACACACACACACACACATATATATATATATATATATATATATATATATATATATATATATCTTAACACATTTTCTGTATATGCGTTATCTTTATAGATACAAATATGTAAGTAAATGCTCTGTTCATAATAAATAGTATTAACAACATTTACCGGCCTGAATGTCCAAGAAATTTCCGTAGGAAATATGTGACCTCCGTGTATCTTACACAGAAGAGTCATATAGCCTTCTAACCATGACATTCCTCTGTGGCTAAATTGGTATAGCACGTTAGGATATATGACGGTTCCGTGTAGGATACACGGCAATTTAGTCAGATAAGCAGGATGGGGATGCATAATATAGGACAATGATACAGACAAGAAACATCTTTAGAAAAAGAAAATCTTTTTGAAAGGATATTTTCACTTCTTCATAGAAACTATCTATATAAGAGTGACAACTTTGTTTACAAGCAAGGAAAAACTAGATTATCCTGCGTAGAGAAGAGGGTGTTAAATAATTGATCAGTAAATAAATGCGTTATCGGCCGGTCTACGCATCTGCTGACGTAAAAGGTTTAACTTGCGCGTCTCTTTATGTGTGCGTCTACGTGTACACGACCTTTATTTATCGTTGTTTTCCGTCAGAGCCGTGTTTGGGTATATCAGTGCGCAGTCAAGCGTGTGGTTATCAACCTTGGTTGCAAGGGTTCAATGGAGCGTGGAAATAAACAGAGCGAAGGGGCAACGAGTTGTTGTAGCGGTGCACAACCCGAACAATAGGAGGTGGGGGATTTAGTGAGGAATTCAAATTTTAAGGGGGTGGAGAAGAGAAGAACGTGTTAAAGCAGGCGCGGGGGGGGAGGATGTCGTGGCGGTGACGGCGGCTTTAAAACTAGGAAAAGGAGTGGCAAGCAAGGAAGCAACTGTTGAAGGGAAGAATTAACAACAGGAGTAGATGATGATGATGAAGAAGAAGAAGAAGAAGAAGAAGAAGAAGAAGAAGAAGAAGAAGAAGAAGAAGAAGAAGCATGTAAAGTGTAAGGAAGAGTTGGTAGAACTTGGGAAGGAAAAGGAAGAAGATGTGTGTTGGCGTCAGCTTCAGAAGTAGAAAAAGAAGTAAAGAAGAATAGGAGAAAGAGGAGGAACAGATAAAGTTTAAGGAACAGTTGACAGAACTAAGGGTGGATGTGGAGGAGAAGGAAGAGGAGATCAAGTAAACAAAAATCGTAGTGGAGAAAAAGCAGCAGGAAGAGATAAAAGATAAGGAGGAGGTGGAGGTATAGTTAAAAACTGAAGAGCCTAATAATTAGACGAAGAGGAAAAGGAGGCAAAAGAAGTTAAGGATAAATAAGAAGGGAGGGGTGGGTAAGGAAAGAAGAGAAGGAGAAATAATCACTAGGGGAAGAAGAGAGAAAGAAAATGATGAGTGATGATGATTAATGAAAGAAAGAAAGAAAAAAAGATATATGCGATGTAATGGTCAACACTGACCAGTCACTGCAAAGTTAATACAGGAAACAAAATATTGACACATTTACTTAGTGAGTGCTTTCAGTCGGAGAATCGTAAAATTTTGAAAATTTCGGACGCGAGACGAGGAACGGAAGATATTACAATTGCATAAGTAAAATATTCAATGAAGCAAAAATCTCTAGAAAAGAATGAAAAACAGAAAATAACAGTAAAAGGTTGAAATGAAGAAGTAAGAAATTCACAGAATTGGAACGAAAGAATAAAGAGACCATAAGAAAGAAGAAGTACGACACGTGATCAGTAGTCAACTTCTTTTTATAATTTCTGAAATGTCGACGAAAGTGAAATCCATAATTATTTTGAGTAAGCGATAACAGAAATTTTTATTACAGCTTCACAACCAGCCGATGGTTGAAGGAGGTCAATTATTTCATTTTCTCCCTAGCTTGCCTAGTTTTTTTTTTTTTTTTTTAATTTTTTAGCCCAAGCCTGGGTTGCAAAACACCAAGTCTCGACGCATTCTGGTTCATCCAAGCGATTTAAACATCTTATTGGCGACGAAGAAGAAAATGAATGAATGAATATATTTACGAATGAAACCGTTTAAAAAAAGAAGTTTGAGAGAGAGGTTAAAATGAATAAAAAAAAAGACAGTCTCTCTGTGTTCTGTCCCTTTAGGGCGTGGTCGAGCATGACTCTCCAGATCTTTATATCCTTTGTAGCTTATTTCTTTCATCTTTTCTCATCCCCCCCATATTCCCATTCAGCTACTTATTTACACAAGATCGTCATATAAGTGGTCCTTTGCCACCTTCTTGTCACATTTGACGTCGATATGTGTTGTGAGTGTTAAATTCTTCAAACCTTCTTTCCACTCTCCGTAAAAAGAAAATGTGTAACTCTAACAAATATTACTAAGAAAGACCGTTATTATGCTCCTTCAAACTCCTGGATCAATTCTTTTTTTTCGCTGTATTCGGTAAGGAGGAATATATATATATATATATATATATATATATATATATATATATATATATATATATATATGTTCCTCCCTATAATATATATATATATTCATAGAGACCGACCGGACACTATTCATAACATACTTGTTGGCAACACTAATAACATCATCTACATGCAAAAAAAAAAGGCTAAAAATAATGGAAGTCTTATAATAAAATTAACTTTGAACATGGACACAATATCTTGAAAGTGTTTTGAAAAATGAAAACATTTTATAAAACATGCATACAACAAACTAGTTCTTTTTTAATAGTTAAAAAATTTAATCCTTGAAAATGGCTAAATGTATAGCCTAAAGCGCTCGGATAAAAAGAACATTCAGACAGTTTTTTATATACTTTATCATCAGAAAAGAAAAAAAATAATAGATCGCATGAGAAATTTTATATAAAAAAACTAAATAAAAGCACTTTGTCTGTCGTTTTCAATGTAATGTGCACGAAAGAAGGATTGCTGCCTAAATACACGCGCATGCACACACACACATACATATCGGACGGCCGAGTTCCAATTGTCGTTGGGTTCGTTATAGTCATTTAGGAAAGGTAAGAATTCACCTCGTCTCTATAGTCCAGACATTGGTTAATTATTATGATTTTTATCACTAAACTATTATTATGTCAAAAACAATTCTTTCAATCTATAAATACATTCTGGCTTTAAATAATCTGCAAAGGGTTGATAAGCTGTAAAAAACGAATCAATCTTTGTAAGCTAGGTGACACGCTTCCTTCCACTTCCCTTTTCCCCTTCCATAAACCCTGAGAGTATCAAATTCTGCAAGATCAACTTCCTTATTATGTCGTCAAGAAATGGCAGCTACCATTTTTTTTAAAAATCTGGGCGTAAGTGTTCTTTATAATTACATTTTTTATTTAAGACTTCCTCGATGCTTATTAACTCCGTTCCTGGTATTCTCAGCCTCCATGTAAAAAGCAACATTCCTGTGGCCTATTTTCTCCTAATATGTGGGAAGATTGTCTAGCATTACCGGCCATATAAGAGGATACATATCACGTAAGACTTCAGTAAACTTTTCTTTTTTTGCTCACGAAATTTTCTTGTTTTTGTTCTTTGCTTAGCTTTTACAAAGAATCTTTTGTTAACCCAATGTGCTTTCGAATTTCACCGTCGCTTTCTCTAATAGAAATAATAAAATATGTGGCAGAAATACCTCCCATATTTTAATCGGTTACCTGACTGGTGCCAGTGAACTTAGGCAGGTGTCAATTGTGCCTTCATCTAGCTAATGTCTTATTATTTTTGTCAGATACCATCGGTTGCCATCATGGATTGAAAAAACGTTTGTTTAAGCCTGGTGAATCTGTAAGAGATATTTTCGAGTTCATTTCATATTACGGTGGAATGATGCTGTTCCGGATAGAAACTTGATACGGCTAAGGATAGAACATTTCAGGGCCACAAGTTCAGCGCTTAAATTTAAGCCACCTGGAAGGCCACAAAGCCCTTGAACTTCCGGGTGATAGAAAAGTTTAGAAATCCTCTACAATGTATGAAGAATAGAGGCCATCATTTTAAGGATGTCATTTTAAAATATAAATGAATAAAATTGTAACCATTTTTTTTTAAAACAAAACTATTTTTATAGCAGTTACCGTATTTTTATTTTTATTTTTTTTTGTCAAGCTTTAAAATGGGGGGGGGATTTCTCCTGCAACCTGTATAATTAAAAACGAACAAAGAATAAATAAGTGCAGACAGAAAAGAAAAAAAAAAGAAAAAAAGATAAAAGATTAAAAAAAAATTACAAGAAAAATTTAAAACATAAATGATTCGGAATTTTTGGTCGGACAGCCGAGTTCCAATTCTGGTTGTGTTCGGGATATTCATTTAGGCGTAAATACCTTTTGGAAAGGTAAGAATGCACCTCGTTCTATGAGCCATAACCCTTCATGGGTTTCCGCAATAACTTGTCCCTTTGTAGCCATTTGTACTTTTTTGATTTTTTTATTGCTATCTTTCCCAATAACTGCTCTTCCAGCCATTTACACACTCTTTAGGTAATATGTCCTGCGAGTAACAAATTTTCCAAGCCCTCTGTTCTCATTATATATCCTAGGAATTCCAACCGTCTCTTTTCCGATATTTTATGTAAATGTCCTTTTTGTTCCCATTTTGGTGGCTTCTTAGTTCATGGTATTCTTAGAATCCTTCTGCAGAACGAGATTCCTGTTTCCTCTTCTTCATATATAAAGGGATCGTCCAGCATTTACTGCCGTGTAGGAAAACCAATATTACATAATGGTTCACGTCCTGGGTATGACAAAGCAAATAGTGAACAATCCAAACAGAAACAAAACATTCTGAAAGTATAAAAATACATTTTACAGTAACAATAGCAGCAATGCATTTTATATGAAAGTTACCTATTATATATATTTACAGTAAAAGGACCAACAATGCATTTTTAAAGCAAAATGTCCACCAAAAAATTTTATTGTAGCGTTACCAACAATACGCACATACTAATAAATTGTAGCTACTCCACCAAAATCCGTTTAAAGTACTACCAAAGAACCAAGGTAAAAGAACTCTTTCATGATATTAAACTATATAATATCCTAACATTTTTAAAAGTCAAACTGTAAAATACAAGGTGCGATGGGCAAATTTGATTTCGCGCATGCGCATTATACCGTCTATGAAAAAGAGAGTACCATGACGTAATTCACTCCGCCGGAAATTTGGAAATGGTAAACTGTACTGCTTGGCATCTGCACCGGAAGCTCCAGCACAACCATTTTAGTGCGTTTGAGTGTCAATCTGAGGACACTTCAGAAGATTCGGACAGAGCTGGATGAGTTTAATGGTGATTACAAAGGTACAGCATCTCTGAAAACTGTTCGTTCTAGTCACAGAGGCCTATATCAAGTTCCTTGAGAAGGTAGTGCTGCCCTGGGTCAATAGGGTGGCAGCTGGAAGACCCTATGTCTGGCAATCAGACACAAGCAGTAGAACCCAGTTATGGCTGTCAGACAATTTCTCCGCATACATCACCACTTACTGTTGTATTCCCTTTATTGCGGTGTGTTTGTTGGTCTCATCTCGTCTTGCCAGGGATCGCTGGTCGTTTATTAATGAGGACTTCAACAAAAGAGATTTTAGATCTTACTCGTTTACTAACCACTTCGACGGGTATATCTTCTCAGGTGGGGGTTACTACACTCCCTATTAGGGAGTTGTTTCCAATACACTGCCACCAAAAATAATAGTCTGAAACTATTCTCCGCAGACAGCAAAATTTGATTATTATGTGGAGCGTATTTGAGCGAGAGACCAAAAACTCCTTGTAACACCAAAAAAACCAACTGAAGGCAAGAATTATGACAGAATTCAGCAACTTAAGCAAGGAGAACGTCCATAAGACATACAAGAGATTCTGAAGTCGTCTGGAGAAAGTGGCTGAAGCCAATGGTGACTTTATTGAATAAATTTACTCTTTACCATATCAAAATATGTTTGTGTAATTTTAGTAAATACATATGTTAAAATGAGATAACAGTATTATTTTCATTTTTGCGTAATTTCGACGACAATTTATCCATCGCACTATATATATATATATATATATATATATATATATCGCACCTATTTATTCATTCATCACACCATACATATATTCATTCATCGAACTATATATATATATATATATATA